TCCAGGACTCGAACCGCAGTTGGCTACATGGGAGTCCAGTGACATAGCCATTACGTAATTGCTGGTCCCTCTCTCTTTCTTTTTTTAATTGCCAGAGGACACCTGTGCTCCCAGAGACAGAGAGGGAGGAAGCACCCGCCACCAACGGGGCCCTGTCACACGGCCATCTCCTCTCCTCCACTTCACCATCTTGTCGAGACCTTGGCACGCACACATACGCTCCTGGCATGTTTACAGGCCACCGGGGCTAGGACTGGAACCATGGTGGGCCATTTGCAATTGGCTCCCTCAACCACCAGGCCATGAGGCCGGCCTGACACCTTTCTTCACTGAGTTCCTCTGTGTCCCAAAGAATAACAGAGGCAAGCAAACTTCCCCAGAGAAGCTCGGCTGTACCGTTAGCTATGCGACCAGCACATATGGGGCGGCCTCAGGGCCATACTGACCACGGGCATGGGCTCTCCATGGGCCACCGTGCAGCCACCACCACCAGACGCGACACGGAGACCGGGCCACCTGGGGGCTTATAATCCGGTGAGTGCAAGTCTGCGCAGGGGCGAGGCTGAGGGGACGGGCGGGAGTCCTGCAGCCCTTGACACAGGGCGGTAGGACAGTCAGTGACACTAGTCATGCCAAATCAAGACCCTGCTTGGTTATTACATCTAACCAGAGAAGGAAAGGCGGGCTGGGGGGCTGTTTCCAAACGGGCTCTCGGGCCCTAAGACAAGGAGGGAGCCCGGCAGCAGGAGGCGGCGGCAAAGGAAAAGGGCGCAGGCCGTGGGTCCCCACCGCCTCTGCCGGTGCCTCACAGGAGCGCTCGGGTGTCCCTGGCGGCAGAGGCAAGCGAGACCAGGGCTCAGGGCCGACGCCGCCCTCCACCAGCTCCGGCCAGGCTCCAGACCTCGTAAGCCCCTGTGGTCCGTGTCAACTCCGTTTTAGCCAGATCACCCACACGTCACCACCCTCAGTGCCGAACGGGTTCCCGGTCAGACGCCATTGACCGGCGCCATCGGATTGCCCTGACCTGCTTAGGTCGGTGTGGATGGATCCCCTGGCGTTTGCTCCTGGAGAGTTTCCGCTCGCCACTGCCCAAGGACGGCGTGTGTGGAGTCCGGCCTCCCTCTCTCCCTGGGCCGACCCATCGCAGCAGACCCGAGACCTGTCACGGGGTCCTGAGTCCGCCCTCGCTGGCCTGGAACAGGGCTATGGGACTACCTGGTCAGTGGCACAGCCCCTCTGCCACCAGCTGCCCCGAGCCCCCCACCTGCCCCATGGTAGGACTGTGGTTGCAGAGTTCCCAAAGAGCCCAGCCCAGGAAATGCCCAAGTGAGGGAGTCGTCGCAGGCCAGACTGTCCCCCCATGTCCTCTGTGGTGACAGGGGCTCTACGTCACCTGGCCAATGCTCCCACTCCGTCTTCCTTTCCAACAAAGCCTCAATCCTGACCCTGGCAGTGTACCCACCCTCGGGGACGAGCCGCACTGGGCAAGCCTCCTCTGGCCATCCCTTCACCTTTGCCAGTGACCAGGTAATGCTGACTATGCTGCCCATATAAAAAGGTCTCCTGAAAGGCATGGGAAAGTTTTCTCATTGACCTAAGTTAAAACGGAAATCTGAAGAGGATGGCTCTCTTTTCCTGGCCCCATCTCTCTACCTTCACTAATCCCGTGTGAACACATGCTCGGAGCTATGGCAGCCACCTTGCAGGCATGAGGAAAGCACAAGAGAACGGCACGCTTAGTTTACGCGGCCGGCGGTGGTACATACGACTGCGTGGACTGACCCCTGTGGAAGGTTCTGGGTTTGTGTCCAGAGACCTCCATGACCCAGGCCGGGCCGAAGCTGCAGGGGCTGCAGTGGCACTGGGGCCCATCGGGGTGCCTTCTCTCCTGCTCTGTGTCTCTCGCTTGTGAGAGGAAGGAGTGAAGGTCTCCCCCAACACCGCGCCTGCTCTGGGTGCCCGTCCTGCTCATCGCAGCCCAGGGAAGAGCATGGGGGCCAGCAGTGGTCCGGGTCTCTCCTCCGCCCATGAGAACCCCGGCACCTGCCCTGCTCCCCTGGTATGGTTCAACCCGTGTATGGACTCCCCACCTTCAACGCCCACGCGGGCAAGTCCAGTCCCACGGCTCCGCGGTGCCTGTGAACGGACGCCCGGCAGCTGGCTCGTTCTAAACACGCCGTTATTCCGAGCGCTCCCAAACTGCTGCAGGAAGGGGAAAGAACGAGAGAGAGAGAGAGAGAGAGAGAGGCCAGAACGGAGTGGAGAGGGAAGTGCGTGTGCCAGGAAGTAATCGCAAAGGAAGTTTCCTCGGCTTGGGAGCAGGAAGTGTCAAGGAAACAGGGTAGCCGTGACTTACACCCCGCCAGTTTGCCATGGGGTTCGGTGAGAGCGGACACCGTGGAGCAGTCCCGGCAATTCTCAGGCTGCCAGCGGCCAAACAAGCTGCACCGGCTTCTGGATTTGACAGTGACTTAACCGAGCCGCGCGGTCGGTGGCGGGGGCTGGGAGAGCCTGGATTTTACCCTCCGTCTCTGGGCTTTTCTTGTTTTCGAACTGATTGGTCTGGACAATGGAAGGCCAACAGCCAACAATAAATCCATTGTAAGCTGGAAATGGTCTCCTCTGAATGCGACTAAATATTTCTGTAATCCTGGCATTAAAATGTTGGCTATAGTAGGAAAGCCCTGCCCCCCAACTGAGCGTTTGCAGCGCTGTAACTACGGGGGACCGAGATGGCCGGAGACGGCCGGAGACGGCCGGCCTGCACAGGCAGCCCATGTAGACCACGTAGAGAGCAAAATAGCAGACGTCCTTTTCGCTGAATTACCTTCAGGCAAACCGAAGACAGAATCGTACTGGCTCTGACTGAGGCTTGTTTTTATACTCCAAACCCCATTTCTTCCCTTTCGTGCCACGGAGGCCTTAGATAATCATGATTAACAGGAACATTTCTTTTGCCTTTTAACTTCCCAAATCTGTGTTATCGGGCACATCAGCTAGCCCCAGGAAAGGTTATCCACAGTAGTTCCCAAGGGGACGCAGGGAAGGGGCCCCTGTTAACAGTGGCCTTTGTCGGTCAATCGTTTTTCCTGATGTTAAAGTACCGGTGCTTGGCAAGGACTTCTTTTCTTTAATGTGGACAAGCTCTGCCTCCGATACCCTGCCAACAAGCCAGCTGGCGAGAAGGCTGGCTGCAGCGGCCCGGTCGGTGCCCACGCTCCGGCACCGGCACCGGCACCGGCTGACCGAGGCTTCCCTGGGAGCAAAGGGAGCAGCAGAGCAAGGCCCTCTTTCCGGGAGCCACGCTCCACGCTGTGCTCACGTGGCCTTCCTACCCCGTGGTTCAGGAAGGCGCCTGCACAGCCATGGAAAGCCCACCCCTGGTGCCCACGCCACCTCCAGGGCACTCAGCTCGGCCAAGGAAGTCCCGGTCACCGGCCAGGCCACGAACAGTTCCCATCTCGACACCTGAGAATGGCCAGTAGACGCCTTGCCTGGTCTCTGGGGAAGCCCAGACCACTTCGGGCTCGGCCGCCTACAGTCTCGGGTGCCAGCGCTCAGGGGTGGCAGGGACTACCTGGCCGGCTCAGAACCCCAGCCCAGCAGCCCCAGACACTGCCCTCAGGTCACTAGTTCAGTGTGAGCTGACCGGTACAGCAAAGCCCAGAACTGGAGCTCCCCTGGCTTTCTGTAGGCGAGCCCGAGGCTGCGCTGGCTCCCGCCCCTGCCCCATGGGGTGGGTCACTGCCCGGGTGAATTCAGTGTCCCAGAGCATAGTGAAGTCAGCCCTGGCCAAAGTTCAGGACTGAAGACTCAACTCTTCAAGAGAGGCAGCTTTCGCAGGACCCTGCTCCCTACTGTGACAGATACGTGTTGCAAGTGTGGTGTAAAAGGGATTTGTGACCTAACCAGGCGTGTGGTTTCTTTTAGCCCAGCAGCCCTATCAGAGCGCAGAGCTTGCCAAGTCAGTGCGGCACCCTGGTCCCCAGGGACCTGCCAAGCGAAGGCGGCAACTGAATCGTCCCCCAGCGCGGCCGGCAGGGCTGGGAGGGGCGGCCGAGAAAGACCAGAGATGAGCGCGGGAAGTTCCAGCACCCAGGGACAGCGAGCACAGGGGGTGGTGCAGTCTTCTCCCGTTCTCCTGGAGTCCAAACTAACAGTGGGTTAACGCACCCACAGGGGGCCAGCCTGGGAGACTGCTGTGGGCCTCCCGCCCTCTCCGCTCCCTTGAAACCGGCCCGTGTCGCACAACTACGGCTGCCCCTTGGGCAGTACCTGGGGGTCAGGGGCCCGCTTCTCCCAGGGGAGGATGGCCACTTTCCCCGCTGGGCCCCAGCTCTGGTGGGGGAGCGCCACACAAAGGTGGTCACGGGTTTTTGCTTTTGTTGTTTATTCTAATTTGCTATAGGGCGCAGGCGCTCTTGCCAGAGACATGAAAGGGAAAGTGAGGAATTACTCCCTAGGGTGGATGGCCACAACCCAACCCCTTCTCTATTGCCGCAGGATTTGGGGCACGCATGCCCACGAGCCCAGCGTGGTTTTCAAGCCACCAGTCGTGGGATCCGGCCGCCTTAACCACCACGCCACCTGCTGGCCCAAGGCGGAGTACGTTTGGGCGAGGACTTCGAGGTCCCAAACGTGGCTCCCGCCCTGAAGAACAAACACAGTGGAAATCTCAAGCCTTGGAATCTCACGAGGCCCGCAGGGTGAGCGCGCGGCCGCACGACCCCGACACGCACGCCCCGGCAGGGTGGGCTGCGTCCCCACTCGCAGCCTGAAACCAGAGCCCAGGTCGGCGGGCCCGGGCTGGCTGTGGTCCCCAGCCCCTGCCGAACGCATGTGCGCGCCCCCGTAGGTCTGCCCGCCCCGGGCGCGCGCTCGGCCCCTCCACCGTGGCCGCCAGCCTCTGCAGGTAGCCTCTACGGGCGCTGGGGACAGGGCTGCGACAAGAGTCACCGGACACTTTCCGTCCCAGCCCCACCGTGGTCGTGGGCACTCACTGCAGGCGGGAAGCGGCGTGTCCAAGTGCCCGCCCCCGTGGGGACTCAGCTCTGAAGTCCATGTCTGTCCTGTCCCCTAAACGCCCGCCTTCCCCGCGGTGGGCCCTCG